ACAAATTCAAATTTGTCAGAGCTGTGTTTGTTTTAAGCGCTGTAGCAAGTGACTCAGCTCCAGCAGGACCAAGGTTATTGCCGTACAAATTCAAATTTGTCAGAGCTGTGTTTGTTTTAAGCGCTGTAGCAAGTGACTCAGCACCGGCAGGACCAAGGTTATTGACGTACAAACTCAAATTTGTCAGAGTTGTGTTTGTTTTAAGCGCTGTAGCAAGTGACTCAGCTCCAGCAGGACCAAGGTTATTGACAGACAAATTCAAATTTGTCAGAGCTGTGTTTATTTTAAGCGCTGCAGTAAGTGACCCAGCACCGGCAGGACCAAGGTTATTGCCAGACAAATTCAAATTTGTCAGAGTTGTGTTTGTTTTAAGCGCTGTAGCAAGTGACTCAGCACCAGCAGGACCAAGGTTTTTGTCAGACAAAACCAACTTTGTCAGCGTTGTGTTTGTTTCAAGTACAGCAGCAAGCACAGGGGCAGCAGCCTCACCTATACCTTACCCTCGAAGATCAGCCTCTTGAACTTCCAGAATTAGGCCAAACGTACGTGCCAGTTCTATATGAAAATAACTGTTTTCAATTTTGCATTCCCTTATGCACTCCAATGCGACAGGTAAACATTTTCCCTCATCTTCTTCGTTTACCTCATTCGCTATGCAGAGGATAAGGGATTCTATTTTTGTACTTTCTTTAGATCTCACTGCTAGCAGACCACAGGTAAATTTTAATACCTCTATCAGCTCATGGAAATGTCTTGTGTCATTGACTAATATAAAGGGACTGATTTCTTCGCTAACAAGCTGGCAACAAAGATAATACCCTGCGAAGAATTCTTGAAAACTCTTATGCGTAAAGCCGTAGCGCAGACACGGCCTTCGTTTGCTGCTTCCAGGTTCAGCTGACAGAAAGCCAAATTCAGGTAAGTCGGCATTTTCACTTGAAAGCTGTTTTTCCTCAAAGTACGTGTTGTCTTCATACAGGCCGTTTAAAGCTAATAAGCCAAGGAGTTTCAACTGATCTTTGTAGATTTCAATCAGATCCTCATTTTGCACTGGAAGACCTCTCTTTTTCCTGTATCTGATAAGAACACATTGTACTATTTCCGAGTACAACTGAGTTCTGCTTTCAGGTAAAATACCTTGAAAGTCTTCACAAAGAAGACAAAGCAGTGCAGTGTTTAAAGGGTTTGCCGCCATCTTTGTGAGACTTTCCTCGTTCTGTATTTTATCCAAGAGCTTTTCGGCCAAATCTTCCTTGCCGACAAAATATTTGTGAATAAATTCTTTGACATCTTCATAAGTGAAACCTTCAATCTCTAGCAGAGTGTCACAAACTTTTCTCACTGGTATCCCAGCCTCGTGTCGCGCTGTAACCACAAGGTGACATAGGGGAAGTATTTTACCTTGTATGATATCGGTAAACTCCGGCAGTTTGCTCGAAGGTAGCTCGTCCAATCCGTCAAGTATCAGAAGAACCTTTGATTGATTTTCCCGAATGAAGTCGAAGAATTTCTGTCTTTCCTTTTGGTGAATTTCACCTGGCAAAAGCTGATCGTCAATGGCTTCCCAAAGGTCGGACTCGATCTCGACATCACGGCATTTCAGCAGGAGTACTATCTCAAATTCCGGAAAGCAGTCTCCTTGTTTTTTTATGTGTATAGCCCAGTCGTAAGCAACCTTATTGCAGTATGTCGTCTTTCCCATACCTGGCGTTCCTTCAATCAGTACTTTTCTAGGTCGGTCGCATTCTTCGTGGGGTTTGAAGATTTCAGTCGTTTCAACAACTCTCTGCTCCGCTGTTCCTCTCGCTTTTTTCTCTCTGCTGACCATACGAAGCCGTGTATAAATATCGCTTAGTCGAAACTGAAAGTCTTCACACCAAGGAAAGGGTGCGAGCCATCCCTCATGACGCTTGTACTTCTGGCGAATGATTTCAATATGCTCGGCAACCAAGCCAACTGTTGAGAATAAATGAGAACCAAACTTTGTTGTAGATATTTGTCTAAATAGTCAGGTCGCTTAAAGCCAAATTTTCGCAATAACATTACATCGCGGAAACAAGCACCAAAATCGCCAGAATGTTTCATTACTGACTATTAAACATTTTAATCCGTGGATCCAGGCGGATTTTTGCGTCAAACATGAGTAATGTTCAGGGCACCCAACGACGGTTTCTGTGAAATACATTGAAAACAATCTTAAGGCTACCTAGAGAACTTTTTGATCTCTAGAAATGCATTTTAAGCGGCGTTATAAAATTTGTATCTGTTTGGTCATTCTAGGGCAGGCTTGAGTCTCTTCGAAATTGCAAGGGCTTCAGTACTATTTTCCCGAAAATTTTAGATACAATTTAAAGTTTACGAAAGTAACAATTTTTCTGATTGCTCTTTCCATCACATTTTCGAATCCGAAAAATTTAGGATTCCTTTTTCTACGAAAAATGGTTTAACCTGGGGAGTGAAATTCAAAAAATTAAACTTAAGAAAATCGTAGGGAATTTATTAGATATGTATCGAAAATTGTACACGAACGAAACGTTTACCTAGAACTTTTTAGCCTTCCTCAAGCTATAGAAAATGCTAGGCAATTTTTGCTTCTCCGAACAGATATTTTACAGAAACAGTCGTTGGGTGCCTCTGAATGTTCCACACCACAGAAGCATGTGAAAACTCTTGGGCGCTCCTACGGAAGCTATGTTATAATTATGATACTTTTTTGATTGGAAAGAATGGTTAAGTTCTAAGAAGAATATAACACTCTGCTTAGCTATGACTGCAAGACCGGTTTTGCAACCAAAATATTGGATCCTTCGTCAGTTGCTTAGGTATAGCTGTTAACAAGCTAAGGGCTCACCAAGGGGGCTAGCGCTGTAAACTAAACTTTACTGTCTGTTCTTTTCATTTAGCATCGAGAATCAGCTAGTGATTGGTTTTTTAAACAAGACGCTGATTGGATGATTTATCTGTCCTTTGTTGCGAGAGGACAACTTGATCCTGTTTTCAGTGTCAACAATAAACATAAAAACGTACATACTGAAATGCAGTTTCAGTAGGCTATGCACATTATTATTCAATAGTCATGAGAACTATAAGACGACGTACAATACATGTAGGTGCACTAGAAATTATACAAAAAGTAAGAATATAAAACAGAGCTCTAATAGGCAATAGAGGACATAGAAAGAACAAATGTAACTATTATTTTTGCCAATATCAGAACATCAAGGTCAAAATACTACTTGCTTTATGATAAATCTCACTCAAAAACACATACACCTATAATTCTATTTTCAATTTTGTTACAATTTCGGCTTCACCAGCTAAAAAATTGGAAAATAGGAGGTTTTAGTTAAAAAATAGGAGAAAATAGGAATAGGCTCAAAAAATAGGAAAAATAGGAATTGGACAACCTGCATTACACGCTTGATGCTTTCAGGAAAAGAGCGGTCAAGACTGCTGAAACAGTTTAACAGAGAATACTTTATTCTGATAGCGATCTAGATAATCCCCAAACTTTCTTAATCACGAGCAAGGTGTATCAACACAGAAAAATTTTCAAAGGCAAGTAAAGCTTGCACTGATGGTGCAGTAATGGCCGATTTTCCTGAGTTTTTATCCCAAGACAGTCAAGACTGCACACTCTTGAAAACACAGACAGGAGGCAATAATGTCCCTGCTGGGTCATCTTCGGCAAAGGTAAAAACTGCAGACTTTACATCATCAATGTCGACAGCACTTCCAAAGCTTCTTGCCATTTCTGGCTGTGGCACCACCTCTGCTACAACACACGAAAAGGGCGCTGTACCAAGCTCTTAGCTGGGTTACAAGTACCGAAGTACAGCCAATGATCTCTTCGCCAGATGAATAGGGTTGGATGGAACAATTAAAAAATGTATGGATCCCTCTTTGGCTAAATGTTCCAGAACTTTAGAAAGCGTGTTAAGAGCCTCTCAAATGTTCGCGGAAAAGGAGACTCTTCTAGTTGCAAATATGACAAAGCCCACTTAAAAGGTTCCCTACTCTGCAATTGCATTTCGTATGGTAGCGCACGCCGACGAGGGAAAAAAATCCTTGAAACTTTAGATGTTACAAATACAAACAGTAAATGTCAGAGGGGGGAGAGAGCACGGGGTACTTCCCCTTCTTTCGTTGACTAAGTTAGTAGTTTTAAAAATTCATGGGTCTGCCTTACAATCGGCCTTCGAAATAATGTACTTTGCTGGAAGGTGCGATTAAGACAGATTATTTGGCAGGCTTAAGAGGCTCATGTAGTTTCGAGAGCTTTTAATCCAACATAAATCAACGAGTCAGATTCGGGTTTATAAAACGATATTATAATTATTATCATTATTATTATTACCAAACGCGGGTCATAGTTGTATTTCAAGCGCAACGAAATTGCAGTTGCTTGACTTTGTTGCCTTGGCGCCGCCATTTTGAATTTATGCAAATAACGTTAATTTTCCACGCTTTCTTTGAGGAGAAAAAAATTTCAGATGGATCCCCGATTAAATTTATTTCATAAGTTGAAAAGAGACTGCATGCAAAAATTGGTGCTTGCGTCCGCCCTGTAACGATAAATGCACTAAGCGACCTAACTAAAAACAGTTTGGTTTGCAACTTCTCAAGCCCGTGAAATAAATGAATTGAACCACCTGTATAACCATGCTTGCATAAGGCGATTTGCTGAACAAAACGTAGTTGTTATTAATTATCTCCTTCAGCCAATGTGCACCGCCTTCAAGCAATGAGCGTAACAAAATCCCAAACTAGAAGGGGGGCTTCAATAAGGAAATGAAAGATGGCAAAGGCCCTTTGTTTGATTTAACGGCAGCCTTTTAGCAGACCACTGAAATTTGCGAGAAGCAAGGAAAATGGACTACTGGTTATGAACTCTAGGTTTGGGTGTTTGAGAACTGACAGTCCCCTGTTTTACCATATGGTTAATAGAGTTCAATAAACCTCGATCTTTCTTTTTTTACTTCGGCGGAGCGCGAAGTAAAGGATTCGCGACCCTCAGGAATGTATCAAAGTTGACTTTTTTTGACAAGATTGGGCACGCAGTCTGTAGGTTTTCGGTTTTGTTCGGCTATTTGACGAAGTGAGAGCCGAATTAGTTCGAGATATCTCGAGATAACTTCGATTTCTTTGATTTATTCCTTAACTTTTTCGAGGAAGAAAGAATTATCAATTTGGCTTTCCCGTCATTTGAACCGACTCACCTGTGTGAGCCTTCAGATCAAAGGAGACTCTAAGTAGTCTACAGTGTGGGGAAACTCACCTTCCTCTTTGGTCGCAGAAACCAAAGTCTTCAGCGTCTCTATGTCGCTTTTCATCTGCTTGAAGTCTTTTCTTGTTCTATCTGTCAGGAAAGATATACTTAACATAATTAAACTTCATCGCATACCTGTCATTGAGGACAATTTAAAGTGGACATCGTGTCTGGAAAACCAGGCAATAGACATCCGAAATTCAGAACAGGAATGGGAATATATAGCAACAGGTACCAGAGACAGAATCGGAAAGGGAATAGAGGTAAGCTTTAAAGGTAGGAAGAAAAAAGACGCAATAAATGATCATATTCTGCTAAGAAATAGGGCATAAAGTATGTTATAGGTGTTTAATAGAGCTCTAAACCGTGGTTAATGAGCCCTAAGGCAGTACTAGTTCTTTCCTCACTTGTTCCCATTGTTGTCTACTCTCCTCGCTTTTGCAATCAAGGCTCGTACAACAGTCAATAGCTCATTTCTTAGCTCAAAGTACTTTTACTTTTACAATATTAAAGTGTCTGCCAAAGCTCCCAGTAATTTTCGACAGCATCACATGAGTCGCACCTGTCTTGCCCTATGTAAACCCCTCATGCCACTAGCTAGCCACATTTCAGCTTCACTCTTCAAACAAGAACTTAGACTTGCACTTGCATATTCCATTTTTTCCACCCTCCCAACCAACTGGAAGTTTTCTCTCCACTGATCGCTATGGCTGTCCTTTTTCCTGCCTGTTTCTATTTGATTTGTATCATATGCTATTTGATTTTACCCTTTTTTAGATTATTGTTACATTCTATTATTTATTAAGTTGCCACCATTATAAAAAAATATTCGCTTGATTTATCCATCAATTAAATCCTAGGTGTTTGTACATTTTACTTTGTTACTTATTTATTGGCGACAGGGAAGTGCACCCTGGGCTGCACTTTACCCCACAGTATGTGGGATAACCCTCCTTGGCAACAGGTCCGGATTGCTTACTCCCAAATGGTACAACTCACCATCTGACCTTCTCTCCTTGCAGAATAGCACCCCTCTTCTGGTCCACCCTGTGTTACGTTCTAATATAGGGCATTGCTACTTTAGGGGATCCTCCCAGGAACATCGCTACAAATATTTTGTACCCCCCCCCCCCCCCCCCCCAACCCTTTTTTTTTTTTATAAAAAAAAAAAAAAAAAAAAAAAAAAAAAAAAAAAGAAAAAAAAAAAAAACAAAACGGGGGGGGCGCCACCACAAAAACACACAACCCCCCCCCCCGCCCCCCCGAGAGAAGGGGCGGCCGCCCCCTCCCCTCCGCGGAGCGGGGCGGGGGGGGAGGAGGGAAGATGCGGGTACCCCCCCCCCCCCACCCAAGATGGCTTTTAGTTAATAACTCAATAAAAACAAGTAGCAATAATGACCAAGAGTTGACATGAAAACACTCGATCGCGGTGAGGCCACTTCAACAGTAACATCCAGCCCTCCTCGAGGCTTCAGATAGAGACGGCGGCGCTTCCATTTCAGCTCAAGATGGCTGTTTTCTTTCAAGTGTTTTTGAGCAGGTCTCAGTTCGTTTTCTATCTTCCCGAAATTTGTAAACGACCTCACAAGTAAATTAATAAAGCTGCCCCCACGCTGGTATGTTGAATTTTGAAAGAAGGGGATGTGATTTGAGAAACATTGTTTGATAAACACATTTTGATGATCTTCAGCAATGCCCTAGTTTTTAGTAAGCTTTTTAACTGTTCGTCTGTCTAGGGCAACACAACTAAAACCAGTCTTAACAAGATCGATATCTAGACTGTTCAAAAATATTAAAAGAACTTAAGTGGTTACCTATAAGACAACAGCTATATCTTAGAAAAGCTATCCTAGTCTTCAGATGTATTAACGGTATGGCCCTAGGGTATTTAGGGGATAAGTTTGTAAAACGATCTAGCATTTCAAACCGCTAAGCTCGGAGTTCTCAGTTACTGGATATTCCGCTCCTTAAAACAACTACTGCATGGTCAACGTTCATTTTATTACCAAGGGTTAAACTAATTTGGAACGCCTTAAGCGATAGGCTCAAAATTTGCGAAAAAACTGCAAAAAAACTTTGCGTGAAAAATTTCTTAGTAATTAACATGATATATGTTAGGCCATTTTATGCTATTTCAGAACTATAACAATTCATCTGGATACAGTAATAGAGATTAGGTTATAAATATTCCAACTTCATTTATATTTAATTTTGATTTAGTTATGTATATACTTCTGAAAAGCCCTGTTAGGGGACGAAGTATAATAAAGTATATATGTATACACGTACAATTATAATAAGTAAGGGAACAGCTACTGGCGAGACAAGTGGGTACTTGAGCGAATCTTGAACTAATCTATGCTAGATGATTTCAACCTTTTTAGCTATATTTGCATTGTGGACGAAATATAACATGCGGAGGAGATGGAAACTCCGGTAAAATGTAACATCTTTAAGATTTTCATGGTCACAAGATGCAAGTGATTAATTGCGAAGTGAATCTAATTAACCGTTCTAATAACCTTTAACTTGTGACACTTTGTGTTTTCATTTCAGCATCAATGCAGTCAGGGGAATGAGGCCAGAGGTGGGGCTGGTGCCCCTATTTGGGATGGGTCGGGGGATTATTACCTTCTTAAAGCTATTAGCTGTCTTTTCTGGTAAATACACCACACGTGTGTATACATTTTAGTACCATACAGAATATATATCTCACAACGCTGAAGATTTATGGCAATCCATCACTTCTGGGGGTCTTGTTCACACGTGGTCTGACACCGAAAATAAATGTATTATTCCCTTCATCCTGCATGTGACATATAAAGTTACAGGGAGGGCAGGGTTGAGGCTAAAGGCGATATTACAAGGGATGATTCGTAAGGACTATTTTGAGTTCAACACAGCGTCATGACAATATTGCGTAATTGTTTAGAGTGGTTGCAACATTGTTACAACATTTTAACACAGAAATCG